TCCGCATGAACAACAGCCACCACGTCACAATCGCCGCCTGTGCCAGCCACTGGGCTAAATGCAAGGACGCGTGCCTCTGCAAGCCATCAGAGCCTTATTGGGGAGGTGTCTCTCTTTTAGACCCTCCTGAGGTACTGAGACTCAAGGCAGGGAGGAAATGGCCCAAGGCCACGCCATCAGAGAGCCTCAACATCCAGTCTCAGCCGGAGGACTGCCTGGCTCCAGAAGACAGCTCAGACACACCGCCATTTGGGGGTCACATCTAATGAAATATGTTCCCCTCCCACTCCCCACCCCACGATCTTACATAATTCAAAGCTGAAGTTCCCACAGGAATCTATTTGAAGTGGACTCACAATCAGCCTTTTTTCCCCCATGAAGTGAGACCCAGTGAATATTTTTCTCTGAACATACTAACGCAGCATACTTCAACACTGCCTTGGCACCTGGTATACAGCCCAACTAAAGCGCACAGATGAGATTCCTAGGCCAAGGTCCTCCTTCTTTTATTGTCTGGCACCAGAAAGCTGCCCGAAGGTAGTCAGTCTATCCTTGAACACTTCCAGCTGTTGCTTGACTCCCAGTCAAAGCAGACGTCATTCTATTGTTGCAGAGTTTGCACAGACAGGACGCGCAACAACAAACCAGTCCATTCTCCCAGCCTGTGCACACGGTGGCCCTGTCAGGCAAGCTGTGGTCTTTCTAGAAACCCTTCCCACTGTCCCTCAGATGATATGAGCCAGGGTTAAGATTGGGCTCCCTGTAATCTGGGGGCTTTGTGGTAAATCCCAACTCAATCGGAACAGCCATCCCTAATAAGGAGTGGAGTGGCTCCCCTCCCATGGCTACATTGTGCAAGGCAAATGCCACGGGCTGTGGGCCCAGGCCGCAGGGAGCCGACCAGCCTGACTGAGTAGGCCATGGTGTGTGGTGTCTGGCAAGGTGCCCTCCCCTCAGCCTGGCCCCAGTGCTCCTGGCTCCTTTGCTGATCTCATTAGCCCTGTCTTCATGCATCAAAGAGGTCAAGTCCTGACTCTCCACGAGAGCTGGACTCCAATGCCTCGTCTAGATGGAGGGAAGAAAGGACAGGGCAGAAGCCATGGGCTTGGATCTGTCTTCATCCTTGGCTCTCCTGAGGCAAGGCTTAACCTTTGAGCAGTCCAGGACTGCCACACGCCTATGAAAATGACCAGAGCACCTGGAAAGAGCGACAGTGAGTGACAGAAAGAGTGTTGCAGACACTTCATCGGTAGACCTCCCTGCTCCTAATTCTCCCTGGTACCCCACTCTCCCTCCCCCAAACTATCCCTCTCCCAACTACCTATCTCCAGCACAAGCCTTACAACCCACAGAGGAATTTCTGCTGCCATTCTGAATGATTCTCTCTGGAACTTAAGTCTACTTTTAGAAGAGCCTGAGAGTCATGCAAACACGAATCAGTTACTTGCCCAGCATGTTCCTGGATGGCCCATTTACCCTCCGGAGACAATATACAGCTTTACTGCCTGCCAAGAACTAAGGATGAGCATTTGCAGATGGGGCCCCTCCATGCTGCTCATCATGAGGCCATGATCACGTCCTGCTCCTCCCAAGACAAGGGCAAATTCATCCTGAGCTGAAGTTATCTCCAAAGCAGTGATGATCCTGGAGTGCTGAGTCCACAGGAGGATGTAAAATACTACACTACAACAGATCTACCCTCAATCTGACCACACATAATTTACACAGGGGGGATAAATCCCACCACGGTTTGCTCCACAGTCACATTATAGAGCATACAAAGAGAGGACTCACAATGATTCTGATTTAAAAAGCTAGAGAGAGACTCACAGAATGGGAAGGCATGCCTTAAGGAAACCACTAAGAATACGGTATAGAAGGACAACGAGTTGAAAACTAAAGTGAGGTTAAGAGATGGCAGATGACTGACATGCATATTTACATGAAAGTTCCAGAGGGAAGGATGAAGAAAATCAGGAGCATTTTTGGCTGACAAGTTTTTAGAATTAAATAAAAATTTTGGTCTTATTAAAAAACAAAAACAAAAACAAAAAAAAAAAACCCCGACAAAACAAAAAAACAAAAACCCATACCTGAACTCCCATACAGACACAGATTAGCCCACATTCAAAGATATTATGGTAGCAACACACACACACACACACACACACACAAAGAAATTGTAAGTGCACTAGAGAGAATCAAACCAGGATGCCTAAAAATGAGGGCTGATAATTAGACAGACGGAGAAGGTCCAGCAAGAAATGCCAAAAGACAAAGGTGTGTTGTCTACAAAGCTCTGAGCAGGAATAACTATTAATAGTTATTTGCAGCTAAATAATTCAAGAGCAAGGGTGGAATTAAGCTCTTTTCTGACAGAGATTTTATCACCCCAGGGCTCATCAAAGTAACAACAGAGGATATAGATTAGGAAAAGGGGAACAACAAAGCAGGTGAAAGACCCCCCAAACAACGATGAACACCTTGTTGGTAAATATCAGTAGGCGCTGAGCACTGCAGGAAAGTTAGCCAGGTGTGTCCACAGCACTGGGCAGCCATGGTGGACAACGGGTATTAAGGCATTCAGGGGCTACGCTCTCCTGGAGAATAAAGACCCTTAGCAGCTGAGAGCTTTTTCAGTCATAAATCAATGTGAAACGCAAGGGCAGTGGTGAGCCACACTGTTTAAGGGTTTTGAGAGGATCGCCCACAACAGGCGTGCAAATGGGTCTATGGATTTAATGCGATCCCACTTAAAATTCCAGAAGGGTATTTTTCTTTTGAATATAAACAACTAGATTTCGAAGTTTATATAGAAAAAAAAAAAAAGAACAAAATTGACTAGAACACTAGGGAGGGAGGGACTGCAGTAGCGGCAGCAGTGACACCCAGATCAGTGGGGTGGGAAAGGAAGTCCAGAGATGAAGCCACAGACAGGGCCTGACTTTCTTCTCTGTGCTGGTGGCAGAGCTCTGGCTCTTGTGCATTTGGGGCCAACTCTCTACCACTGAGCTGCAGCCTTAGCCCAAGACAATTTATCTGTTAGAATGGTACAAATTATCATATGGTGAAAAGACTTTTTTTTTTTTTTGTAACAAATTGGGCTGAAAAAAAAAATGACATTCCTGCACAAAAGGAAAAACTTGAGCACTTATAAACGGTTAACTCAAAACAGACCAGAAGTCTACATGTAACTATAAAAAACAGAAACACCCTGAGAACGTGCGTAGAAAATCTCCCTGTCTCTCCTGGGATCAAGCAGAGGTCTTAAGTGCGGTACCAGAAGAATGAGTCATGGAAGAGAAAAATAAGGGGAAAAAAATGGATTTTGTCAAAATTAAAATCTGTTTTTGTTTTGGAAGTGACATGTATTCTGTTAAAAGAGTATGTGTGATGATCTAGAGACTGGGAGGGAATATGTGTGAAGTTTATACTCAATGAAGAACTGTCTGGAATTTGTATGAAATCTCAACAATTTAAAACAATAACAATTTATAATTAGTTAATGGGTTGATAGGGGAGAGGAGCATTTTCTTCAGTGGTGAAGCCACGTGTAAGGTGCCTATGTGCTTATAAATAAACCCTCACACTCTTTTAATCAGCTCTAACAAAATACGCTCACACATACACACATACACACAAATGAAAACAGAAGGGGGAACTAGTTGAGAAAAGGAAGAGGAAGAGCAAGAGTGGGAGAAATAAAGTGAATATAACCAAAATAATCATGTACATGTATAAAATGTCATAACGAGACCTATTATGCATAACTAATATATGCTAATTAGAATAATTAAAAAGTAAAAAGGAAAAGTTACCTTTTTCTAGATACTTCAGCACTAATTATTACCACATTTAACCACATACATGTCTATTTCATCCTGTCACCAGACCTCCCAATAAAAAAAAGCAGAAGTTTGGGTCACAGAAAGAGCCCTTATTTGAGGGTCAGGAGAGAGGAACCCCTTCCTGCTTAGCTACTTGGACCAAGAAACAGTATCTGAACAGCTTCAAGTGTGAAGACCTACTATGTAGCCATTTCCTGGCAACTGAAACATTCCCTTCAGGTTAGAGGAAGAAAGAGCAGGAGCTCTTAAAACTAAGAGAGTTACAGAAACTTGTAAGGCTCAGAAGTTCATAAAAATTACAAGATTTACAAAGCTTTCCCCAAGGTCGTACAAAGCAGGAATCAGTAGTAGGGGAAGAGGAGAGATCTGATGGAATTGCCTGCAAGTTGTAAAGAGGCTCTAAGGATAAGTTTTTCTGAGTCTTCACCCATGATGGACTGTGCCTTTTAATGACATGGCTGCCTTTGGGTTACCTATGCTCTTATAATCCCTTACCCAAGCTCCTGTAGGTAACCCAAATAAACTTATTGGCTCACTAAAGCAAGTGTTGAACAGAGTCATCTCTTTAGGTTACCATAGTGTCTTATGTGGAGTGGACAGGCATTTGTTCATGTTTCCAGGAGAAGTTACATAAGTTCTCAAATTATGACTTTTCTTTGCACACTACTAGTTAATGTCTGGACATCAACGACTATGTGATTTAATGTAAAACATTAAACACTATGTGATTTAATGTAAAATTGACAGGCGTAACGGCCACAGAACATCAAGAAAACCCCCAAATGCCATCACATTCCACATTTTGCTCGTCTTTCTGCTAAGCCTCTGTGGGCTCTGGTTCCAGGCAGGTGGAGTTTATACTGATCCTGGCACAAAGCACAAGGGGTCATGGGGAGAGGCTGGCAAGCACATCCTCAACAAACCGGGAACCAAGTGGCTAGGCTACTTCACACTTCTGTGTGTTTCAACAGGTTCTGCACTTCAGATGTGGTCTGGAGGGCAACTGAACCGCTAAATCCAAGGGTGGCCTCTAAAGGGAGAGGAGAGAAGCATGACCCAGAGCGGAAACCCCGAGCTCGTGAGCACTGCCATCAACCCTGTGCCATGCTCGCCCTGCCTCAGTTCCTCAGGGCAGGAGCCGGGGTCACTCACCAGTATTGGTCGAGGTGTACTGATAGGGCTCTGACAGGAAGTGTGGGAGGGTGAGGACGAAGGCGCCTACAGCCAGGAGGAGGCCCCCTATGCCGATCATCCGGGGGCGGTTCACCCGGCTGCCAAAGTAGCTGACAAAGATGATGAGGGTAGCATTGCTGATCTGTAAAGGGAAACAAGGGATCAAATGAGACCCAGGTCCTACCCTCCCCTAGGCCAGAGAAGACCGTATTTCACCCAGGGAGAATAGACAGGGAAGGGACTGTCCGTCATTGGTGGTGTCCCTGAACTTGCTTGGGTATTGCTTTTTTTTTTTTTCAGCAGACCTCAAAACTGTAGTTGTTCTAGCCAAGAAGCGGACTTCAGGCCTCACCTATCACCCTCAGAGTGCCCGAGAACAGCCGCATCTTCTTGGTGGTGGTGAACATTTGGAATCTGACATAAAGCCCATTAACAGCACACGCTGCTCTTTCACGTCTCAAAACCAAAGGGGCCTCAGGGCTGGAGTTGGACACGTAGGACAGGGCTCTAGGGCTCCAACCCACCTTGCCTGTTTATCCCTCAATGTCACGTCAGAATGGACAATAGGACAGCTGCTTTCCAAGGCCAAGACACTTGTTTGAGCACCTCCACCTGCCCTTGAACTGCCATAGGCGGCCTGTGCCCTTTCATACCACCTGGGCCCAGGAAGGCTTTGAGATTGGAGCTTCTGTCTGAAGGTCTGTACACACCACACACTCAGATGGCCTCACCCACTCCTGCATAAGGCTGGGCTCTCTTTACACACCTCTGGCCCCATACACACATTCACACACTACTAGTAGCAGTGTACAAACTTTATTTGTTCCTGAACCACAGTTTTATTTTAAGCATTCAGTGATGCAGATCAAAGTTCAGATGCGGGAGGTCATAGCTTTGGATTCTCTTGAGTGCTGTAAGAGAGGATCTACCTGACATGCCAGATCTCATCTGTTTAGTAGAGGGGCCTAGGACACATGTGAAAAGAATCCAGAGGATGTGTCTGGACTCATCAAGAACTAGGGTGACTTTTGATTCATACAAGGGCCAGGACAAGGCCACAGTGACATGAATGCCAAAGGTTTGTTTCCTTACTGTCTGTTGTCTGTGAGGACAATAACAAGTCAAAGACAAAAAATTTAGGGGAGCTATTCTGCACTAGGATGTAAGCCCAGTCCCTGTTATGTTCCTCTCGGAGCCCGTGGTTAGGATAATGCACACATTGAAGGATGGTCAAGAGCCTCCCGCCCAGGGCTGGAATGACGGCTCAGCATTTAAGATCGCTTGTTGCTCTTGCAGAAGACCTAGGTCCAGTTCCCAGCCTAGTGGTTCGCAGCCATCCACAACTCCAGTTCCAGGAGATCCAGTGCCCTCTCCAGGCTTCCTCAGGCACCAAGCATGCACACAGTATATGTACATATAGGCAGGCAAAACACTTGCACATAAAATAAACAAATGTAATCAATTTTGTTTTAAAAAATAAAGACTCCCCCACACCACCTCCCACCCCGCTCACCTCATTCAAGCTGGAAATGAGACCCGAGGAAGAACTGGAGAGCCCAAAGCGCTTCTCGATTGTGGTGAGGCTGCTCTTGAAGTAGGCGCTGTAAAGCAGCTGGCAGAGCTGCAGGAGGCCATGGCACAGCACGAACACCTGGTAACAGATGACAGCCCCGTGAGCTCTCTGTACTGTGGCCCAGGTGCCTGCCTGGCCTTCCATCCAGGGCGTCTGGGGCAGCTGGGACTGTCTCCCCACAAAAAACACATCACTGGATGGTTCTGAGGGTAAAACTCTATCAGGTGCCACAGGTTCTCTTCCTTGGAAAACAGTTCAAAAGCGCTAATCGTTCCTAGGTTTACCAGATTTTTTTTTTTTTTGAGACCCTGTCTCAGGTCTCCCAAGTTGGCTTCAAACTCAATGTGAGGCTGAGGATGAACTTCTGATCCTCCTGCCTTTAGTCTGTGCTGAGCTCACAGGCCAGCGCTACCGCACTTTGTTTTCAAGGTTTTGTGCATAGCAGGCAAGCACTCCACCTAATGAGCTACCTCTGTTGTCTCACAGAGCTCATTAAAACCATGGAGAATGCCATTCCCAAGAAAAGTCCTGACTTGAACAAGCAGCAAGGGCCTTTGCCACCTTTGGTTGCTCCCTAACCATATCACAGCATACCATGGACTGCTCTTTGGGCTTCCTCCTGTGTCCCGAGAGGGCTACAGGTCATCCGCTATTCCATCTGGACTATTCTCAGTGATACCAGGGAAACTTCAGTTTGGGGTGCTCCACTTGTCCTGTCCTCCATCCTCCAAGGCCCACCTCTTGTGTCTCCAGAAAGGTGGTCTGACAGAGTCCTCCAACAACCTAATCAAATGAATATGCTGATTCTGTCATACCAAGCTTCTATCAGGGCTATCTTGACCTCTCACCAAGAACATTTGTGACTGGACATGTTCCGCTCTAGATAGATGGTCAAAGCCTTGGAGAAAGGCCCAAGGGTTACCTGTCACTGAGTCCCACCTGACCTCACATGCTTTGTCCTGTGTGTACTGAGTAAATGTGAGTTCCATACTTGACAGGGGTAGACAAATAACGTCATGGAATGTGAAAGAAGAATTTGATGGTGTCCTCAGCTCCAGGCTGAGCCCTCCTGCCATTTCAGCTGTTGCACGAACAGGTACCAAGCCACAAGTCCCACATCCTTAAGCAGTGTTTGGAAGGTTTCTGTTGGGTCATGTTTTCCCTCCAGGGAAGGGTAGGGTAGATGATGTTTCATACTCTGCCAAAATTATTCTCTGATGTGGTCTTCTTCTTCCTGGGGTGGGGGTGGGGGGTCAGGTGCTGTTAGCCACCAGCCTGTGAAGGCAGGAGGAGCAGAAGTTGAGGCACAGAGCTTGGAAGGCCATGAGCAGGATGGAGATCAAACACTCTGGGAACCACTTCATGGAAATAGTTCAACTTTAATTCCAGAGAACAAAGGCTACATACTCCTTGGGGAGTGGGTGGGGGACTCCAAAGATAGGTGTACATAATTGGTTAAAACTAGGCACTTTAAGGATGCTTGATTTGCATTAAACAGCAATTAGGAACACAGTACCTAATTATCATATAGTGCAGTATCTAATTATCATTAGGGGAGAGCTAGCAGGGAGCTGTGTCAAAGGCCACATGTCAATTGTGGTTTAGGGGCATCTATGTCTAAAGACACTCTCCAGATGAAGTCAAGCAGAGTAGGAGGCCCTGCTGGGGAGAGGGAGTCCTGCACCTTAAGGCCGAGTTTAGAATGGCTATCCGGACAGGGAGGACTGCAACCTCAAACAGCAGGGTCCTTTCAACACCCCTGAATTGAAAGGCTGGTGTCTGAGAGAAGCAAACGAGACTTCGTCTTCATTTTAATTTCCCTCCAAAACTAAGCCAGCCTCTCTGCTGGGCTCTCGCTCCAACCCATGGAATTTCCCAGATGTTAGAACAGAGCCTTGGCAAGGCCAGCTTGAGGCTTCTGCAAAAGAGTCTGGAACTCACTGTATGTCCATGTGTACTCTGTATAGATGCCCATCTGCATTCATGGCCTCCAAATCCAAGAAGGCCATAGTTCTCAAGAAACCAGACACCTCTCCAAACTGCTGCCTGTCTCTGAGCCCCAGCAACCAGCTTCCTCCTCACCAGAGGCAGCAGAGAGGCTACCTGGTGACAGAGACACCTCTCCAGTCCCATCTTCTAGAAAGTCCCTCCTGTGTTTCCTTTCATTAGCTGGACTCTTCTTAATATTTCATGATAAAATATTTTTTGAGAATTATTTTTGTCCCGGTTTCTTTTCTAAGATGGAGAAATTGAGGCCATTGCAGAAGCTCAAATAGGGATTTGAAGCAGAAATCATGAGGAACATTGCTTGCTGGGCTTCTCAGACTCTTAGATCTAGTTTTCTTACACAGCCCAGGACGACCTTCCCAGGGTGGACTGAGATCTCCAATACTAATTCACAATCAAGACAATCCCTCATAGTCATGCCCACAGATGAACTCCATCAAGACACTTACTCAACCGAGACTCTTTTTTTCAAGGGACGAGTCTAGGCTATGTCAAGTTGATGCTAATTAGGACAGAAACTATTAGTGAAGATGGGATAAAAAAAAGATGGTATTGTTTAGGTAAGAAGTGGGAAATAGCAAGAGCTGGAGAGGACAGGAACTCCACAAGGAGAGCAACAGAACAAGAAAATTTGAACACAGGGAACTTCCCAGAGACTCATACTCCAACCAAGGACTATTCATGGAGATAACCTACAACCCCTGCACAGATGTAGCCCATGGCAGTTCAGTGTCCAAGTGGGTTACATAGTAATGGGAAGAGGGACTGCCTCTGACATAATCTGATTGGCCTGCTCTTTGATCACCTCCCCCTGAGGGGGGAGCAGCCTTACCAGGCCACAGAAGAGGACAATGCAGCCACTTCTGATGAGAACTGATAGACTAAGATCAGAAAGAAGGAGAGGAGGACCTCCCCTATCAGTGGACTTGGGGAGGGGCATGCATGCAGAAAGGAGAGGGAGGGTGGGATCGGGAGGGGAGAAGGGAGGAGCTTATGGGGGGGGCATACAAAATGAATAAAGTGTAATTAATAAAAGTTAAATAAAAAAATTTAAGAAAGATGGTATTGATATTGCTGATGGTGAAAGTATTGACAGAAATACAGGTAATGCTGCTGGCAAAGGTGAGAGTAAAGTGAAGGGGTTGGTGAAGGAGATGGTACCGAGGATATTGGGATTAGACAGTTTGGGCATTGTTCACGAATACAAGACACCAAAACCGCACTTAATCTTGGACTCTCCCCTGGGTCAGGCCAGATTCAGGAGAGAAGACACAATCTAATATGTAATGCCTCACTAGAACATCCTTCTCTGATCATCTCTGGAAGGTTAATGCCCCCTAAAATTGCCTGAGGTCTTTTTCTGGACATTCATTCTGTTTCGTGCATTCTCTTGACAATCCTGTGGCAGTCAAATCTTGGTCCCTCTTCAAGAACGTTTTCCTGAAACCCTGCACTCAGGTTTATTGTACTGTCTATTGAGCATGTCCACCTGTATATCCCAGACTCCTCATGCTAGTCACTTCCCCAACTGTGACATACTGTCTTTCCCACAGACTTCTTTTTTTCTTTCAGACCCTGCCTTAGTTACTTTTCTATTACTGTGAAGAGACACCATGAGTGAGGCAACTCTAAAAGAAAGCATTTGATTTGGGGCTCATGGTTCTAGAGGGTGGTAGAGTTCATGAACATTATGGTGAGACGAAGAACAGCACGCGGTTAGGCATGACACTAGAGCAGTAGCTGAAAGTTTACATCTGATCCAAAAGCCTGAGGCAGGGAGAGATAGGGAACTAATTAGGAACTTTGGAGACCTCAAAGCCACTCTCAGTGACACACCCACTCCAACAAGGCCATGCCTCCTAATCCTTCCCAAACAGTTCCACCAGCTGTGGACCAAGCATTCAAAGACATGAGCCAATGGGGAGTGGGGTGGGGTGGAAATTCTCATTCAAACCATCATACTCCTACCACTTTTAGTTTCCCAAGTAAGAAACCAGGATTCTTCCTACATGACCCCTTACCTATGTTCAACTCTATTGCCAGACCCTGTGATCTCTTGTTGGTGTCTCTTATACCTGAGTCTCTTCATCATCTTCAGATGTATACCTCAGCTCGGGCCGTAACTATTTCTACCCTGGAATACTATAATAAAGTCTCTCGGGTCTCTTGTCTTCCTCTCCAAATCTTCCATCTTACTACCCCAAGGAGAACTTTTCAAATGCAAATGAAGGCAAGTCTGCTATACAGAAATATCATCTAAGCCCAAACTGCTGCCTGAGTGAAAATGAGGACATGACACTCCAGGGTATGGTCGAGGAGAAGGATTTTATTGTAGATATGAGGGAGAGTTCAGCCAAAGGCATCTGGAAGGGTTCAGCTTGAACCAGGCCACGAGAGGAGGAGGGAGCAGCAAGAGATGAAGAAAAGATAATAATAATAATGAGAAGGAGGAGGAGAAGAGGTGGGATAAAGGAGGAGGAAGAGGAAAAAGAAGAGGAGGAAGAAGAGAAAGGAGGAGGAGAAGAAGAAGGTAAGCAGACCAAGAGAAAAGCTGAGGACCAAGACAGCATGTGCCTGAAATGTCAGGTTTATATAGAAAAGGGAAGTTGGGGGAATGGAAGGGAAGCCCCTGAGCTGGAGAAGAGGTGTGTGGGTAGGAGACGCTGATGAGGTTGATCACATTTCACAAAGATAGCCACATCGGCATCTCCCACCCACGCACACCTCTTGCAGTGTGACAACGATGCCATCAAGGGGTGGGTACGTGTTCTCGCCACTTGAATATGGGTCAGCAAGGTGCTTGCTTCCAGTGGAAGCAGAGCCACCATGCAGCTGTGGCGTCTGAGGCCAGCGCCTAAATACGAGTGGGTTATCCGCCTAGACTGCTCAGTCCTCTGCTGGTGTCGACTGCCAGGCAGGCTACTGAGCATTCCCTTAGATCATTCTAGTCCCAGCCTTCAATAAACCAGAAATGAGCAACTGTCCCCTGAAGAGCCCTGTGCAGATAGCCTATGTGACAGCAAACTGAAGTTGCTATTGTTTGAAGCACTGAGTTTGGGTTTGCTCTGTCA